AACGACACGATCATCCGTACGGTTGTGATCTTCGCTGAGGGTATATTCAAAGGCGAGTCTCAGGTCTTGCATCCGGTCGAGAGTCAAATCCAGCCCGAGATCAGTGTCACACTCCGACCGCCCAAAGACATACCCATCGATCTGCACATCAAAGCGCTGGTCGGCTATAAATCAAGCTTTCATTACCACGTGTTTGAGTTGACCAGACATTTGCCCCGATTCGCGATGTATGCCATCTCTAAGTCTGTGAACAAACCGCAGAGTTTTGTTACGTTTATTTTGCCCGAAAAGTTGGCCAAAGTTGTGAGTATTGTCTTCAATGTATTGGCATTTTTGGCATATTTTTGAATAACACATTATTATTACATTAAAAACACATAAACTAACACTTATTTTCTTACAGACTAATAATTATTTTTAAATACAAACTGTTAATTATTAATTAGCAAAATGTCACACATGTTATTACAGTATGTTATTAATATCTTAATACCTGGAAAATCAGTAACTATTAAAAACAGATGTTTTATATTAAATTTTAATAATAGAATCACGAGTATTTCTTAAAAATGCAAATATAAGCATGATTAAAACATAGACTTAAATGCAAGTTTAGAGCAAAACAATATTTTAATGCAAAACATAAGGATTAAATGCAGGTCACATTATTTATATCAGGACCACATTTTTAACCAATTGTTGTAATTAAATAATTTATGAGATTATTATTATTTATGACAATATTTAATGACCATTGATGTGATGCTGACGGGCAGGTGATGTGGTTGAACGCCACGTTCCTATTGGTCGAGGAGTTTGATTTCGCCGAAACACTTTCGGTGTCATTCATATCATTACGAGACGGCTCTCCTCTGGTCATCGAAATGGATGGCAAGTCGTCTGAGTTCACGATACGGACGGACAACATAGAGCTCGCCGGCGATCTCATCCAGAGTCTAGTGTTTGAGTACTTGAGTATCGAAGACCTGTCGTCGACGGCCAGCTTTCCTCCCGAAGTGGATCGGCTCAAGAAGTACATCAACTCTGTTGAAGAGCTGCAGTCCGTTCGGCAACGATTGGCCGCAGAGATCGCCGACAACTCCATTGCCATCAGAGAGCTGGTGGTGAGGGCTGAAGACGCCCGGCTTATCGGCGAAATGTATGCATTTATTGACTGATTTTTGTATTTTTATTGATATTTGTCTCATGTTTTGTGTCTAAATTTGTTTAGAAAATTGATGAAAGATTTCTACAATGATTTGAATGCATTGAACAACGATCTGATCACTGAATACAAGATCCGTTGCCAGAATCACACGGATCTGGTCGAGAGTCTCAAACAGGTGAACGTTATTATACAAAGGGCTGGCAATCTAAGAGGTAATTACTGATTAAATGTGTAAAACATAATAAGTAATTAATCAAATATTTGCTTAATTGCATCGAAACAGTGGGTAAACCAAAGTCACAACTAATCAATTCGTGTCGAAACGCTATCCAACAAAACAATTTGAATCTATTGTCGCGTATTATAAGCGAAGGAGAGTTTTGAATATAATATATCGGTTCAGATATTTGTCACCAAAAGAGATACTCATTTTCTGTTTTATAAATAATGCATACATTTCTTATAAAAATAATTTATTTTAAAATTAAATTATTAATTGAATTCATAACAAGAAAATTCATCTCATAAATATATTTTGAAAGTAGATATTATTAAAAATAAGCGGTGCGCCTCCCACAGCCCTCTCGCCCTCGATGTTAGCCCTTTTTGCTAGACGCTATTTTAACATTAGTAAGCATTTTGTTAAGCGCCACAAACCAGTTCATTAGGATTGACTGGTATGTAGGCGTTGCTTCGCCGGCAAAACCCAGATCACCTAGGTCACATACGTCGGGAAATTGGGACTTTGCTCGCAAATCTGTGGTCAATTTGTTCACCCGATCGAGTGCCCAGTGAAACGTGTCTTTCATGTGCTGAAACACTATAGCCTTGTCCGCATCGTTGTTGTGCACTTCAGCTGTTTTGTTCATAAACTCCTTCGTATAACTGTCACATCGTTGTAATCATGTTATTATTATATTCACATTACATTATGACAATTGCTTAGATAATTGCGTAACAATCATTATACCAAATAAATTTCACCAAGTTGATTGTAGTATCCTTTTTCTGGGCCTGAAGCAACACATTGAGGAACAGGATTCGGATATCCTTAGCGCCAAACTCCTCGACCTTAGTGTCCGAACACAAGTGCCACGTGTGAGGCCTAAAGGAAGGGCACGACATGTTTCAATATTAAGCCAATTATATACATACTATAAATTATATGAATTATACATAATGTGCATTAGATTATACTAACTCATCGGAAGTAAAGTTCCTGCATTGAGCGGGTGTCGGAGCCTTTTTGTCTGTGGAAAACACCATTTTGCTTACAGCTTGCAATTCGGTGCTCGCTTTAAATTTGCCCGCGATGAATTTAACAGCTTCTGCTTTAATTTCTTTCGTCTCTCTATGTATTACACCAAAAAATTAAATTTTATTTATAAATACTTTTATAATATAGCTCATATGACATATATTGTCAAAAATGGTGCTAAATATCTACCAAGGAATGTATTTTAAACTGATCATGTGCGTATGTAAACGTGTGTAGAGTATAATGTAATGTACAGACGTTTACACACTAATCATATAGACAATTAATTACAATAAGAAATGGCATACAAGTGCCGTACGCCGGGCGGCCATACTTGCAATATCTAATCACATAGTCTTTAATCGTCGTTTCATTGCAATCCAGACCTTCGTCGCCGTAAAACAGGGCTATTCTCATCATTAGGTCCACTTCTTTCTCTTTTTTCTCTTCCTCCTCAGTTGGCGCACATTTGATGCCATTTACTGCACGTTTTGTTTGTCACCAAAATTAGACAATTAATTACATTTCATATTCAATTATAATCAATATATAGAAACAGAACAATTTTAACAGTTACTTACAAACAGCAATCGCTAAAACAAAGTAAATTATATACATTTGCTTTGTTTTTTACTGATCTTATGGGATGAATAAATTATTAATTTCAATTTATAGACCCTTTAAATGGCGTAATAATTAAAGTCATATGTGTTTTAGATGAATGTAAATCTATACCCAAGTGTTTTTCCTCACTTTTGTAATTAATTTGATTTTAATTTTAAAAATTAATTCTAATAATGACTAAACGATGGAAACATTGTGTTTAGTTTTGTATAGATTTTTGTAGTTATTCAACAGTTATCTATTGATTCAATCGAATTATTGTTGTGTTTTAGCTTTAAATTAAAATATTTAAGTTATTGTTAAAGTTTTTAATTAATTTTCAAGCGTTATAATATAACAATGATCGGATACAATTTTTGATATATTGTAAATTCCTATTAATATAATAAATCCTTTAATTTGATGGTATTATCAGTATTAAACAGTTTACTTGATTACCTATCTCTTTATCGTCTCCTTATCTAATATCATATTATATTTAATCATATTTTTCTTAAGATATTTAATAAATGATACATTTATACAATTCTATATCTATCAATGAAATAGTTTAAACAATATAATACATGTACTTTACTGTACAATAGTAATTGAAGAATACTATTAATGTTAATTAAAAATTTAATAGTATTTCTAAAAATGTATTTTACAGATTAATTGTAAAATAAATTAAATACAATTTAAATGACCTTTAATTATAAAACAACACGTGTTTGAGAATATAATTAACAAAATTACGTATGAATTAAAATGTAGAAATTTTATTCAATATAGAAATCATATTATGGGTTATTAAAACAAAAATAATTAATGTTATATTAATTAACATTAAGTTAAATTCTGTAATATAATGCATAACATTCTGTACAATATGTAACTATAAGTATATTTTTAATGTCATTAAATTTCAATTGATTGTAACGAAGGATGCATTGAAAGCGGTGTAAACCCATACAATCGGCGCCAATATTGCGGCCACAATGAAATCACATACAGTTATATAATATTCACTTCAAATACAATTAAAACATCATTTCAATGATAAATATAAGTTTATTTTTATTACTAATTATTTCAACACGTATTTCATACACAGAAAAAATAGCAGTAAAACAATAAAAATCTATAATTAGTGTCACACACTGTCATGTCATTTAATCATATCATTAAAACTCTCGCAAAATTTAAAAATAAATGCAAAAATTGCATAAAATATTTATAAAAATCTCTTTGTATTATCGGAAAGAAATGTTATGAAAGCCAATGGCGGCCGTAATGACCAGTAATACAAACCAAACCACCGGCGCTATAATACCATAGATAACAGACATGTTATAGATATCCCAACCCCTGGATATAACAAAGCGCATAGAGTCCAGGGCCAGAGTCTGGGGGCCGTAATAGCTAATGGGTTTCATAAAGGCTGGCATCGCCTCCACGGGCCAGAAGATGCCGGATATGATGGACACCGGGAGGAATGAGGCCATAGACATGGCCAACGCCTGACTCTCATTCTCACTGAACGNATCCCAACCCCTGGATATAACAAAGCGCATAGAGTCCAGGGCCAGAGTCTGGGGGCCGTAATAGCTAATGGGTTTCATAAAGGCTGGCATCGCCTCCACGGGCCAGAAGATGCCGGATATGATGGACACCGGGAGGAATGAGGCCATAGACATGGCCAACGCCTGACTCTCATTCTCACTGAACGCCGACACTACCAGTCCTAACGCCATACCACACATGCCTTGTATAAGTGTTATCATATAGACTAACACTATGGACCCCTTGGACTCGATGTTTAGTATGTAAAACATGGTGATTATGCTGAGCAGCACTTGTATGGCCAGTACTATCAATTGGGTACTAATTTGGGATACTATGTTGAGTTTACAGAATTGTGGCCGGTGATCACAGGCGAGTTTATGGGGCAGGAAAGCGAGGTTGTGATTACACTAACGTCAATTACGGTAGCGTCGCTTCTTATACCGGTAACTATATTCTGGATGGCGTGATAGACATCAAATATATCTCATTAATATTCAAAATATAAATAAAAACTATAAAAAAAATTTATTTTCATAAGTTATGAATTTCGTAACATTTCTATAAAACAATATCAATTTTTCCTTTGTAATAAAATTATTTTCCTTCAAACTGTGATGTTATTTATCGTTAATGAAAATTAAATATAAAATTTTATAAAAATAAATCTCATGATCAAAATAATTAACTAAAATAACTGAATTAATGAGACAACAAATCTATCTCACAATTGTCAGTAATTAATATAAATTATTACAAGTCATTCATTTTCACATTCATTACAACACTATTTTGACGTATGATTTAATCAATTCTTTCGCATTTATATAAATGTTAATTAATTGCTAATTATATAAATCTGATAAAAGTATAAGTAATTTGCAGATAACATGACATAAAAAAGTGAATACCGGGTGCCATAAACTCAGTCATTTGGGGCGATTCCACGCCATAGACAATACCATCGATGGATATGGGGTTCTGGAGGCCAGAGGCCGAGAGGTTAGCGCCGGCCAACTCAGCCATTACTGTTGCCGTCCTATTGTACGTCAAATACAACTCCT